TGGAAGTTGACCTCCTTTTTCCACTATCTTGATTCTCAGCTTGAGGTATATTTTATCTGATGAATACATAGCTGATTTGCTCTCCTTTGCTTGACATTTTCATGAAAAAAAAATTCTTCCACAGATGCACACACTAGTAATATAATTTGGTCAATGTCACTCTCCAGAGCTTTCCCCCTCATTTTCCTTCTCCAATTCCTTGGTCTTTTTTCTATGTTCTACTAATTTCCCTTTCATTTCCATGAGATAACCCCCACTTTGCTTTTCTATTTTCTTCTCTATCTTCCACAAATGGAACAAAAAAAAAATAATCATCAAACTTCTGAGTATGGCTTATTTTACTTAACATAATGTTCTCAATGCTATCTATTTTTCTACAACTCATATTTTCTTCATTACTGAATAAAACTCCATTATGTATATATACCACATTTTCTTCATACATGTATCTGTTGATGGATACATAGGATGGTTCCATAGTCTGGTAATTATGAATTGTGCTACTATAAACATGGGTATGCATTTATCACTATAGTTTGATACCTTTCTTTTTAAAAATTGTTTTATAATAGTTGTAGATGGACACAATACCTTTATTTTATTTATTTTTATGTGATACTGAGTATTTTTTAAAGTTGAGAAGAAATTTGTCTTTATTCTTTATCAAAATAATTGGAAAAAACTCAGCTAAAACAGAAAAGAAGCCAAATAAAATGACATCATTGTAATACTAAATATTTAACCCAGTGCCTCATACAAGCTAGTCAAGCACTGTACCACTGAGTTACAAATACAGCCCATGACTTTAATTCTTTAGAATAAATACTGAGGAAAGGGTAGGCTGGGTCATATTGTGGTTCCATGCCTAGTATTTTGTGGGACCTCCATACTGTTTTCCCTCATGCTTGCACTAATTTATAATCCCACCATAACTGTAAAACAATTCCATTCTCTCACCATTCTTTCTTGAATTTATTGTTTGTATTCTTGATGACTGCCATTATGATTGGTGTTAAATAAAATATCAGTGTCATTTTGATTTTCATTTCTTTAATTCATAATGATATTACTTTTTTTTCATATATTTATTGGCCATTCTTTTGAGAAGTGTCTATTTATTGCATTTTCCCTTTTATTGGTTTGACTATTTTTTGGTGTTAAGGTTTTTGAGTTCATGTATTCCCGATATTAATTCTCTGTCAGAACAGTAGCTAGTAAAGATTTTTGGACATTTTATAGGTTCTTTCTTCACATTCCTAATTTTTTCTTGTTGTGTAGATGCTTTGATTTGATTCCATCCCATTTATTAACACTTGATATTACTTCTTGAGCTTTGAGTTCCTATTGAGAAAGTTGTTGCCTGTCCCTATAAGTTGTAGTGTTGACCCTACATTTTCTTTTGGATTCTGGTCTGAGTCCTAGATTTTTGTTCCATTGTGAGTTAATTTTGTGCAGGGTGAGAGGTAAGAGTGTAAAAAGTCATTCTTCTAGATATGGATAACCAGTTTTACCAGCAGTACTTCTTAAAAAGGCTTTCTTTTCTGTAATATAGGTTGTTGGCCACTTTGTCAATGATCAGATAACTGTATCTGTGTGAATTTCTGTGTGTCTTCTCTTCTATATTATTTTGCTGTGTCTGTGTTCATGACATTACCATGCAGTTTTTGTTATTATAGCTCTCTATTATAATTTAAAGTCAGGTGTTTTGTTGCCTCTGGCATTGCTATTTTTGTGTAGAATTGCTTTGGCTATTCGTGGTCTTTTATTCTTCCACATGAAGGTTTTTAAAATATTTTTTAAATTGTAGATTGGCACAATACCTTTATTTGTTTATTTAGTTTTTTGTGGTGCCAAGGATCGTACCCAGTGCCTCACACATGCCAGACAAGTGCACTACAACTGAGCCCTAACACCAGCCCCTTCCACATGAATTTTATGTGTTTTCTATGAATGCCTTTTCTAGATCTGTAAAGGATATAATTAGTATTTTGAGAGGGATTTCATTCAATCTGTATATGGCTTGTGGTAATATGGCCATTTTAACAAGATTTTTTCTGCCTGTCCTTAAACATGAAAGTTCTCTCCATCTTCTTGTGTTTTGTTCATTTTCTTTCTTTAATGTTCTATAGTTTTCATCATGTAGGTCTTTGACCCCCTTGGTTAGGTTCTTTTCCTAGGCATTTTATTAATGTTTTGGGGGTATGGTGAATGGGATTGTTTTCCTGATTTTTTTTCTCAGCAGAATTCATTGTTATAGGAAAGCTATTGATTTTTTCTATATTGATTCTGTAACCTGCTACTTTGGTGAATTTATTTATTATCTCTTGTAGTCTTTTGGTGTAGTGTTTGGATCCTCTAATTATAGGAACATGTCATCTGCAAACATTGATGATTTCACTTCATCTTATTATTCTTGTTTTCCCCATTCACTTGCATAATTGCTCTGACCAGAATTTCTGGAACTATATTAAATAGGAGTGGTGAGTGGATATCCTTGACTTAACCCAGATTTTGATTTTTAAGTAAATGCTTTCCGTTTTCCCTGTTTACTATGAGTATGGTGTTGAGTTGTTTTTTTTTTTTTTTTTTTTTTTGTATCAACACTTTCTGATGTTCAGGTAGGTTCCTTCTGTTCCTCATATCTTCAGTGTTTTTATCATGAATGGGTGGTAATTTTTTTCAAAAGCTTTATTTCATCTATTGAGCTGAATAAGTGATTTTCATGCTTAATCTATTTATATGTCCTTATCTGGTTCTAGTATGACTGAAATATAGGCTTGATAGAATAAATTTGAAAGTGTTACATAATTTTTCATTTCATGGAATGATTTGAGGATTATTATTTTTTCTTTAAAGAACTGAAAACATTCATCTGAGAATCCATCTGGTCCTGAGCTGCTGCAGAATTCTATGTGGAGAATTCTGGCTGCTTGAGTCTGGGTCTAATCAGGCATTAGAGGTTTTGTTGGTATCGGCTTTGGACATATTAGGTAAACACACCACTAGGGCCCCAGATAGATGTTTATCTCTGCTAGGAATCTGGATAAGGAATCTCCTAGGAATTCTATTCATGGGGCAAGGAAGCCAAACCACCTCACACTCTGCTGACCATGAAGACTATTTCCCAGGCTGAGAACCTGAGAGTTTAGAACACCCACCTGTTCAGATTCTCAACATTTTTGAACTGTTCACATAAGCCACCAGACTCAAGAGAAAATCTCCTCTTCATTTTTCTGACTTGGTTCCTCCTGAGTAAAACCTGAATTGTGGACATTTTAATCATAATCTTCTAGGTATACCCTAGGCCACAAGTCAGAGCTTGCCAGGGTACTATGGCAATGTTCGCTATGATCTCCCAGGATTCCACAGCAGCAAGTTACAGCATGGCTGCTTCAAAATGGATGCCACCTCAGCTCTCCATTTGCCAGCTGAGAAATGCAGAGCACTTTTTAAGGACCAGTTTATGATATAGCTTCTGTGTCTGTTAAGTTCAGGCTTCTTTGATGATCTCAGGTTTTTTCATACCAAATCTGTTCATGGTATTCCTCTTTCTATGTTGTCCCTCCCTCTTGTAAATCACTGTCAATGCTACAACCAGCATTGCTCCCATGTACTTTCTTCTTTGTTCAGTGCACCTGAACCTGTTACTTGATTTGTTTCAACTATCCATTTTCTTTTACATATCATTGAATTTCCTTAGGATAATTATTTTGAATTCATTTTCAGGCTTTACATAAATTTTCACTTACTTTGGGGTCAGTTACTGGAGAATTATTGTGTTGTTTAGGTAGTTCTATCTTTACTTTTTTATGTTGCTTGTGTCCATATGTTGAAATTTGCACATCTGATAGAATAGATGCCTCTTCCAGTTTTATGGAACAGCTTTTTGTGGGAAAGAATTTCACCTGAAGATGAATCCTATAGTGTCATTTGGGCAGGGTGTGTTGGCTTTGGTGCGGAGTATTGTATGGGCCTGGGTACCAGGGTTGTAGCTGCTCCCCTGAGCTAAAGCTCCATTTCTCTTGGAGTAAAACATTGGTTCACATACTGGGAGTAGGGAATTTGTATCACTGGCTTAGGTACTTTTTGTTTTTGTTAGATGGTGTTCCTATTCCTGGCTTGAGTGCCACATGGGCTCATCACAAAGGTTGTGAATGCTTCTCTGAACCATAGTACCAATTTACCATGGTGAAGTTCACTATTTTGGTTCATATTTGGAAGGATTGCGGCTGCTTAATTGAACAAGGCTCTGTAGTGAAACAAACCATTAACTGGGATGGTACAGATAGAGTAGTATCCAGGGCACATGAAGCTAGAAGGCATATGAACTTTAACTAGGAATGGTATTATTATCATGTATGCAGACATGGTGCAATGACAGCAGAGCCTCAGAGATGAAATGATATAAAGTCTACTTATTCCTACAGCAGGACACAGTGCAGCAGTAGCTCCAGTTTCAATATGACATAGCATAGTAGCAGCTTGGGACAAGGGGTATGGCACAGAACATGTGTTTTCTGTCTTCAGTAGAACAAATATATGAACTCCAGGCAATTCTCCAAATGGTTCTCAGGGCCTGTGAATATTATATGGTTATCCATTAGCAAAAGCTACATGTATATTTTTGCCATTGTGATGGTGCTTTGGGACTCCTGATTACCTTTTCTACAGTTAGAAATTCTTCCTGGTTCTCAAATGATCCTTACTTGGAGGAAGCATTGTTGGAGTCAAGCCGTTGCCTTTCATTCTCTGCTTCACAGGGTTTTTACGCACCCTTATTGTGCTCTAATGATCTCATTTATTGTGACAAAACTGTTGTTTATTTGCTATTTACATCCTTCTTGTAGGAGATAATGATCATTGGGAACTTCTAGTTTAACATCTTAATGATATCCAGGATTCTACATATCAATTAAATGTAATATTAATAAAATAAATTTTAATTTATAAAATTAACTATAATGCTGGAAAATTAAATAAACTCTTCTTTTGATTCACAGCAGCATTAAATCCCAGAAGAAGCCACTAGTTGGGCTATTTGATGAGATGGAGATCTGCGAGGAACAGGAGGATGCTGTGCTTGGGGTTAGTACTGTTTGATATCTCCATGGGTCAAATTGCAAGATATAGGAAGTTTTCTTTTGGAATCAGTTTTATGGTTATATGTATGCCCTGTAGATCTATTCCATGGAATAATCTCAGAGTGCTTTCAAGAGCAATCAATAAGAAGAACTAATAAGATAAGGTGGAAGTTGGGGAATAAAAATGGTGTAGATGCTTCTGGAAAGTATTCAATCAACCATCCACTTAATAAATAGGAAAACTGAAGTCCCCAATTGATTATGTGCTTGCAAAGGGTCACAGAGGTATTTGTGGAATTGTTGAAGCTCAATGCCAGATCTCTTATGTTTCCATCAAGTACTTATTGCTTTGAAAGTTTGGTAAGCATGTAAAATATTTTAAGACATTAAATCATTAAAAGAGCACACACAGATAATTCTTCATTAATATAAGGCATTTGGAAGGGCTTTTTGCAAACAAAATATGTCAGTTATTCACTGTGAGATCAACCTGTTCACTGCTGTTTTAGCCAAATACACCCCAGAATAGATGAATGGATAAAGAAATGTTGGGATGTACACACAATGGAATATTACTCAGACTTTAAAGAAGAATGAAATAATGGCATTAACAGGTAAATGGATGGAGTTAGAGAATATCATGCTAAGCAAAGTTAGCCAATCCCCCCCCAAAACAAAGGCCAAATGTTTTCTCTGATAAGTGTATGCTGATCTATAATAGAAGGAGGCAAGTGAAGAATGGAGGAACTTTGGATTGAGCAGACCAGAGGGAGAGGAGAGGAGGGAGAGTTGGGGGAAAGATGGTGGAATGAAATGAACATTTTACCCTCTGCACAGGTATGAATGTTAAAAATCATGTGAATCTACATAATGTTCAACCAGAGAAATGAAAAGTTGTGTTTTATTTGTGTAAAATATAAAATTAATTTTTTTAAAAGGAAAAACAACAGACAAAAAAGCAAAAAAAAAAAAAAAATCCTGTCATGAATTCTACAGCTAGCAAGAAGTATTGATTACAGGAACCTGGACTGCTTCCTAGTGAGAACCTTTCAAAATGAAAAAAAAAAAATGTTCCAAATATGGGATCAGAATGCAGCAAAAAAATGACCTCCTCCTATAACACTCATATTATTTCCCAAACAACCTAGAATCTCTCATTTCATAGGCTCAATCTATGACATCATGATAGAATTTCCTCACATACCCTGCAGTGATTCTTCCTAAACATTAGTAATACCTTCTTTTCAATGAGCAGCTGTTTAATAAACCAGGTGTTTTTTCCAGGGATAAAATTCAGTCAATAATAGAATCAACAAGGAAGTAGAAGAATTGAACAAAACTACAAATCATAAACCAACTGTATGAATAGGCATCTGTATAACATGTTACCCTATATCAGCAAAACACTTTTTTCTGTAGTGAAAATCAAATGTTCTCTAACATATATCATATATGCAGCCATAAAAGTAATCTCAACAAACATAAAAATATTTAAATAATATAAAATATATTCTTCAATTGTAATGGGATAAAATAAGAAGCCAATAACAGAAGGGAATTTAAAACATTAAAAAATTTATGTAGATAAGCATGCCTTTAAATCAATTAGTAAAAGAAAAAATGAAGAGGGGAATTAGTAAATACATAGAGATTAATGCAAATGAGATACCACAAATGAAAACCTAAGGGATGTATCCAAAGCAGTGCTCAAAAGGAAATTTTGATTTTCAAACATATGTATTAAAAAGGAAAATTATAGATCAATTACCTGTTAACTTATTCCTAAGAACATATAAAATAAGCACAAATTAAAAGCAAGCAATGTAAAATAAACTTACAAAGATTAGAGTCAAAAGAAATCAAATGGAATGGAGAAAAAATAAAGAAAAACAACAATCAAAAAATCTTTTTCTTGAAACAGCAACAAAACTGACAACTTAGTGAAACTGATGAAGAGGAAAAGGAGGCAAGTATTCAAATTGCGAAAAAAAAAATCAGAAGTTACAGAGGAATTATTACCACTAACCTTAAAAGAGAGAAATATTTATAAGGGAGTCTTATGAGTAACTGTGTAAATGAACAAGTTTCCAAAATACAAAAATTACCAAAATGAACATGAAAAGAATCACACAATTTGAATAGAATTACAATAAGTACAGAGAGGTTGAAGAGACAAAACCACTCATAAGATCTGCAGAGAACAGGAGTTTATTGGAAATAAGATACAAATAAAGGAAGAAAATAAAGTTACAAGATGATAAAACAGGTGTTTCCAGTACTTATCCCATCATGTAAACATCAATTTGAAAACCATCCACACAGGAGAATGCCTTCACAAGATTTGAGAAATCTGGTCAAGAGACTACAATACCCAGGTTGATCACAGAAATAAGAAAAGTTGCATTGAAGAGAGTAGTAATGGTAGTTAAACTTTATCCTCAGGTTCTCTTCATCAAATCTGTACAGTTCATAATGGTCAGTGTTACCCTTCATTTAGGGGAAGTGAAATGAGCACACAATTTGCTATATACCCAAGAACTAGGCCTACTTAATTGAATCCTGGAACCATATCTTTTCCTGTCGACCTAGTCTCCAGGCCCCAGACCACAAATAACTACTGAAGTATTTTTTAATCCCTTCAGCTGAATTTTCTTTTTCATAAAAATATATATTTGTTCTTTTTTAGTATACATGATAATTTTTGACATATTATATACACATGGAATATATCTTACCCTAATTAGGATCCCATTCTTGTGTTTGTACATAATGTGGATATTCACTGGTCATGTATTCATATATGAACATAGGAAACTTTTGTCTGTTAATTCTACTGTCTTTCCTAATCCCATCATACTTTCCCTTTATTCCCCTTTGTCTAATCCAATACACTTCTAGTCTTCCCTCTTTGCCTTACTGTGTGTTAATATCCATATATCAGAGAGGACATTTGGCCTTTGGTTTCTTCGGACTGGCTTATTTCACCTAGCATTATAGTCTCCAGTTCCATCTGTTACTTGCAAATGCCATAATTTCATTTTTTCTTTATGGCTAAGTAATATTCCACTCCTTGGCATATGCCTAAAGGATTCAAAAGCAGCATACTGCAGTGACAGAGCCAAATGAATGTTTATAGCAGCTCAATTCACAATAGCAAAGCTATGGAACCAACCTAGGTATCCTTTGACAGATAAATGGATAAAGAAAATATGTTATGAATACAAAATGGATTATTACTATTGAAATATTAAGAAAGAATAAGAACGGTGAAGACATCACTCTATCCAATCTCAATATGTACTGTATAGCTATAGTAATCAAACCAGTGTAATGATGGCATAAACATATACTCAGACCAATGAAAGATGATGGAAAAAATAGAACTAAATTAATATATTTACAGTTAATAAATCTCAAACAACAAAGCTACAAAGAACATACAATTGGAGGGAAAGCTCTTCATTAAACGGTTTTAGGGAATCTGGGTAACCACATGCAAAAACATGAGATAGGACCCCTTTTTTAATATATCAAGTCCAAATGTATTATGTAAGTAAATGTAAGGCCTAAGATTATAAGACCACTAGAAGAAAATTTAGCAAACAAGCTTATTGTAATTGGTCTGAGAAGTTGTTTTTCAATATAATCATGAAAGCACAGGCAACATAGACAAAAACAGACAAATGAAACTACATAAAAAAACTTACAAAAGAAAAAAACATATCTGAATGAAAATCATGAGAAAATATTTACAAACCATTCATCTGATAAGAGATTAATAGCCAAAATATATAAGGAAATCTTATTAAATACCAAGAAAACAACCAAACGTAATATGAACAAAGGACCAGAAAGATATTTCTCAAAGAAAATATATCAAAATAAATATTTAAAAAATATTCCACCTCACTATCATCAGGAAAATTCAAGTTAAAGCCACAAATGCTCATTATCTCATACCTGTTAGAATGTCAATTATCACAAAGACAAGTTAAAATAAATGTTAGTGAGATTGTGGAGAAAAGGGAACCCTTGGATCCACCCTGTGTGAATATAAATTAGAAAAACTACTATGAAAACTGTGTGTAAGTTCCTCAAAAATTAACAAGATATGCACCAGCAATCCCACTTCAGCTCATAAGTCAAAAGGAAATGAAATTGGTATGCCAAATATATTGATACCCTATTAAATTCATTGCAACATTAGTCACAATAGCCAAGATATAGGAACAATTGTATTTATCAAGATAAGAATGGATAAAGAAAATATGTGTGTATGCATGTGTGTGCAATTGAATAATATCCTGCCTACAAAAGAAGGAAACCGTGCCATTTGTGACAACATGGGTAAACTTAGAAAACATTATATATGTGAAATAATATATGATCTTTCTTATAATAATGTGAATTCTAAAAAATAAAGCTCATAAGATCAGAGAGTAGAATTGTGGTTGTGTCAGGAATGGCAGTGAAAATGAAATGGAAAGATGCGGATGAAAGGTACAAAGTTTCAGTTATGTAAAATGAATACATTCTGGAGATATAATGTATAACATGATGACTTTAAAGTTAATAATACACTGTTGTATACTTGTAATTGGCTAAAAGAATAGCTCTTAAATTTCCCACTACAGAAAGATAGCTTGAAGTGATGGATATGCTAATTACCTTGATGATATTTATTGTTTTTAATGTACATGCATATCAATATATCACATTGTACACATTAAATATGTGTAGGTTTTATTTGTCAACTATAGCTCAATTAAAATGAGATGAAACATACAGAAATTGAATTAGAAATAAAGTCTTCACAATCAAGATACAAGAGCCACATGTGTTTGGTACTGCATTTCAACAGCATTTAATGATGATTAATATAAGTCTTATTAAACTCTTCTAAAATATAGAAAGGAAGGGAACACTTCCCAACTCATTCTATGAGGCCAGTGTTCTCTGACACTAACATCCCACAAAAAACAACAGAAAAAAGCTAGAGATAAA